CTGTACTGATGCCAGGAGTCTCTTCCCATGAATACAAGCATGGCTATCATCATTCCTGTTTAAATTTGCTCTCGAATAAACAAACAAATTTATTCCACACAAATTTGAACAAAAATGCCCTTTGGAAAATAACTTCCATGAGGTATAGTAATGAAAGTACTACTCTGTAGTAGCTAGTCACACAGTAAAAAGTGGTTTCAGCACTTTTCGATAACAAGAAAAAAAACAGTGGTTCATAGCAATTGTTTCTCAGGGACATGCTGCCAACCACACTGCCACTGCTGAAACGCATCACCCACTGCCTCATGTACTCACACCATTTGGTCTCCATCATCATTCAGCAAGCATCAATGAATGTCAATGGGTACCAATTTTTTCTGTGTGAAGGAGTTCTGTGACACCCCTTTTCTTCATATGCACTTCCATGTCAGACATCATGCTGTCAGACTGCCCCTCTGCTGCCATCTGTCACACAGCAACAACATGCAATGGAATATTGGTGGGAAGGTTCAACCTCTACTGCCCTACCACCAACATCCACCTCTGGTGTTATGGGCCAACATAATTAAAATAAAAGACATGACTTTCAGAGCAGCCCTTGTATAAAGGTAAGGAAACAGGATAGTTATGTATTAATTTTAATTGCACTGTTTACAAATTAATTTGAGGCTCGATTCACCATTACACTATGCAGTGCATAATTGCCCATGTTTCCAAGTTCACACTTCTTATCACGATGAAATTAAGCTCAGCAGTGGAAAACATTCAAGTTCCTTTCAGCCTCAACATTTTCCTCTAAAGATAATAACTTTCCCACCTGTCTGCAAATATTTGATTCAAAATAAATCTGGAGCTTATGCTTTTGAAAAAGTTTATTTGTTTTCTTCATGGAGGAAAAAAAAAAAAGAAAACAAGATAAAAAAGAAGAGAAACTTGAAACTAGAGCATTGATTGCTGCATTTAAACAAGATAACTGTCCACAATGGAGCACAGCTATCCCAAGAAACAAAACTGTTGGAAAGGATGATGGGAGAGATCAATCAATATGTGTAAACACAGTTTCTGCAGGAACTCTCAGCAGCGTCATAGTCTCAGGTAGCACCACACCAGAAAGCAAAGTCATCCCATAAAATGTTTAACGGCCTCCCCCCACATAATTACCTCAGCACTTCTGGGCAAGCCCATGCTCCTTGCAGGTCACTATGCAAGGTAAGTAAAACACTTGTCCCACAGCACCCAAAAAGGTGCCTGTGTCCTTCCTCCCTCTCAAAAGAGAGAGGCACAGATGTGAGAGAGGGATAGAGAAGAGAGAGGTAGATGTGGCACTGAGGGACAAGGTTGGTGGGCATAGTGGTGATGGGTCGATGATTGGGCTGGATGATCTTGGAGGTATTTTCAAACCCTAATGATTCTATGATTCTTTTACTTCCTTCCAAGTTCCTCCCCACAGGAGAGGCAGTGGTCCCACTGCTCACAGTGTGGGCAACAAAGGCACCTTTCTGGAAATTCCAGGGCCTGGTCCTGCCCTCAGCATTCACCCAGCCCTCTGCAGAGCAGCTCACCTCAGCTCACAGCCTGCTCCTTCTCCACAACACCCCACATCTCCCACTTCCCATGTGCTGGAACCAGATGAGCTGGTGCTCCTTCACTTAGACTCTGCTGTAGTGCTGCTTCTCTGTGCCCAGGTTGCTTCCCTCTGCTAGGCTGGAAACAGCCAAAAAATACCGCCTCAGCCAAACCAGACAGGTTACAGGCAGTCCTGACCCATGCTGTGATGGACTCTGGGCCAGTCCCTGCATCCTGTGCAAGAGGCAGAGGCCAGGCAGGGGACAGCTGGCACAGGGATGTGGCAGCCAGTTTGCATGCAGGTGTGAGGGGCTGGGGCTGCCCACGCTGCCTTCACCTGTAGAAGGCACCTAGAGCTGCAAACAAAGACAGAGCCTTCCCACAGCCTGCCTTCAGCTGGGGGATTTTCTGCAGCCTCCCAGATCACCCCACTGCACCAGGAGCAGGATATTTAAGGGTCCAGCTATGAGGAGGAGAGGAGATTGTCCTGAGGACTTACAGGTAACGTGTCTATTTTGCTTTAACATTGTGAATGCAGAGAGAGAGCAAAATGAGGAGAAACGAGCAAAGAGTTAAAGGGGATGAAGGCATGGAACAAATTAACAACAGATTTATCTTTTCTGGAATGCATCCACTGCTCAGGTTAAATCCACACACTCCTTCTGCATGGAGATATCTCATAGAATTTTACAGACTAAGGAAAGTTGAACTCGTATCTTCATCCTTAAATTTATCATTTATGGTTCTTAGAACTGAGCCAGTGGAAGAGTCAGACACTGTGAGCCAAATCCTGTTTAATTTATTCAGCAACACATCTGTGTGAAATATAGTCCAATTACGGGTATTAGGTTACTTTTCCACGGCTGCAGACATTTGGCTTTTATTTCCAGCAGGCTCTAATTAAATTATCACAATGCAGGAGCAAATACGTTTCCTTTATACGTGACTGCAATTAAAGTCATGCAATCACAACATTTTTTGAAGTGACTCCAATCAATTGGTTACAGTAAAGAACAGCGTGTAATGGAGCAGTGGCTCCACTGCTAAGACTAAGAGAGGGTTTCTATTTCAATAATCTAGCTCCCTTTTATTTTGAGTTCTGCTCTTGGATAATTTATTTAAAGTTCATTATGTGTCTACAGCATATATCACTTGCCCTCAGCTCAGGCTGCAGAAGTCCCATTACGGCCAATTACTTAGTGTGATAAAATCTGCCACAGCACAAACTGTTGCTTAATTAGATTTAAGTTTTGTCTACATTGTATTTGTAATTCTGACTGTAAAATAATAAGGCCAACAGCAAAGACTTGCTGCCTGCTCTCTCTGGTCACTGGCAGCCTGTTACACTGGGTATAATCTTTTGGCAGGTCAGAAGGGAGACCCCTAGACTCAGTGCTCTTCTTGCAGTGCTTGTCCCCATACCAGATTTCCCTCACTGGCCTGGGACCCAAACCCTGCCCTGTCAGATACCTCACCCATAATGTAGGGGACCACTGGAAGAATGTGGTGGTCCTCATGGATGCAGCATCTGAGTGCTGCTGCTGCCACCACACTTTTTGATGTTTGTAAGTATTTGCCCTACAGCCCCTATGAGTTTGCTCTATAGTCCTTATGGATTTGCTGCAGCAACACAATCATAGGCAGGAAAAAATGCTGTTGACAAAATGATAGTCCTAAAAAAAACCATGAAGTGCAGGAAGCAGCACCCAGCCATGCCCCTCAGCTCAGTTAACAGGTGCACACTGTAAACACCATGCTGTGAGCAGGGCTGTTCTCCCAGTATGGACAGCATGCTGCTGTGGAACAGAGCCTCTGCTGTTTGGCTGGTTAAACATTAGCCATATGTTACAGGTTGTTCTGGGTATGACAATGTCACTGCATTTCTTCTTACCAGCCATCTTTCCACGTCATCTTCTCTTTGCCCTCATCCACGTGCATCTCTCTATATGGCAGAGGTTCACAGACAGCACTGTCTTTTCTCAGGTGGTCCTGTCCTTCTCACACAGGGTGGGATGCTAGCCTGGGAAGCCTTACTGAGTATATTGCTGTACACCTCAATTCAAGACACTGATTTATCCACACAGTAAGTGTTTCAAATACATTTCAACCGTATGTTCCACGCAAATTTCAATTAAAATCCTGGAACCTGTCTCTGTGAGATCCCAAAAGTGACTGAGGGTGGGAGCCACATCAAGAAAATTCGAGGTGGAACAAGAAATGGAAGCGATGATTCAATAAGATTCTCTTTAACAGATGCAGACCACAATAATTTGAGGATGGACACCACTCTGTAAGAGGTTGCCTACCTCAGGAAATAATTACACTTGAGATTTACTCAATATTTTTCCCATCAAAACAGCTCTAAAAGAAAACCGGAATCCACACAAGAGCTCTTACTGCACGTGACCTTGGCAGTTATTTCCTATGAGCTTCAGTGGCCCCATATTTCCTGCTGGAGATTCTATATACTGCAGATTCTATATACTTTGCTCAGGGACATGATTTAGCAGAGGATTGTTAGAGTTAGGGTAGTATGGTTGAGATTAGGTTAGGTTGGGGTTAGGTTGAGGTTGGACTTGGTGATCTTGAAGTTCTTTTCCAACCTGAGCAATTCTATGATTCTATGACTATCTTTAAGTCCACTGAATCTTGATCAAGTCCCAGAAAATATCTTGAGAATGGCTGCTTTGCAAAGTTGGCCGCATTTATTCAAATGTTTCAGAGAACTTTGAAGGCTACTGTCTATAAGAAAATCACCGTTTAATTTTTTTTTAAGGAATAGACATTTACATAGCAGCTAATGGAAAATCTATAAAAATACCCTGTTTCTTTGCAACATTAATCTTGTTAATGAACTAAAAAAATTAAATATTCGTGTATTGGGTTTCTTCAAGAAGGAGGAATAAAAATGCTACCGAACTCCAGTGTTAAAAAGAATATGCAAACATTTCAACATCTGCTTTCTTTTCCAGTTAATTAGCAATGATGTGAATAGCTTTTATGTAGTAGCAACATTCTGAACATTCCTCTCTGTGCCTTTCATCAGTGGCACAACACAACCAGTCTGTCTTTCTGCTGCACTTGAGTCCTGATGAAAGCAGGTGACCTCTATGTACTGGAGGACACACATCACCCACCGTGGTGCTTGGAGTCCCTTAGATTCTGCTTGTGGAAACCCTTCCCTGAAAACACATATGTGGGAATACAATTTTTACTGTATCTGTATAAATATGAACAAAAAGCCTATAGATCAGGTTTAATTCTCACCAAAGCAGCAAGGCCTTTACTTATTTAATAAAGGCACTATAACAGAGGCAGTGGTGGGAACTTGAAATAAGACCTGGTTAGTCATTGTTTTTAAGAGGCTAGTACAGGGTCTTTTCTGTCAGAGAACACTAAGTATTTCTCTCTTCCTTAAGCATTAAGGAAGAAACATGAATGCAACAAGTGGTGATTTAGCCAACCCCGCGACGTGGCAAGATATCAGAGGTGATTTTCCCAACTGCACCGATGTAGAAGTCAGTCTGAAGACTTTGTACCTCCCTGTTATGTACAGCCTCATCTTTCTGGTGGGCTTCCCAGGAAATGTTATTGCAATCTGTGTTTACAGCTTCAAGATGAGGCCTTGGAAGAGCAGCACCATCATCATGCTGAACCTGGCACTCACAGACCTGCTCTACCTCACCAGCCTTCCGTTTCTGATACACTACTATGCCAATGGGGAGCGCTGGATCTTTGGGGAATTCTTGTGCAAGTTCATTCGTTTTGGCTTCCACTTCAACTTGTACAGCAGCATCCTCTTCCTCACTTGCTTCAGTGCCTTCCGCTACATGGTGATTGTCCACCCTATGAAGTTTTTCCATGTCCAGAGGAAGCGGTGGACAGCAGTGGCCTGTGCAGCCATTTGGGTGGTCTCCCTGGCAGCTGTCAGTCCCATCAACTTCTTGATCTCCTCAAAAGAGGAGCAAAACAGATCCTTATGCCTTGATTTCACCAGCTCTGAAAACCTGGGTGCAATCAGGTGGTATAACTGGCTGCTCACCAGCCTGGCCTTCTTCTTGCCCCTGGTGACAGTGACTCTGTGCTATGCACTTATTATTTCTGCCTTGGCCACTGGACCCCAGACATGGGCTAGCCACAAACAGAAGGCTCGCAGACTTGCCATCATCCTCTTGGTGGTCTTCTATGTGTCCTTCCTCCCCTTCCACCTTTTTCGGGTAGCTCGGGTTGAACTGCAGTTGTGCCCAGTCAGCTGTCATGTTGAGAAGCAGATTCATGCCATCTACATCATCTCTCGACCTCTGGCTGCACTCAACACCTGTGGTAACCTTCTGCTGTACGTCGTGATGGGAGATAACTTCCAGCAGGCCATCCTTTCACTCTCATGGTGCAAGAGGAGCAAATGCATCCAGCCACCTGGGAGCAGTAATTTTGTGAACAAGTCAGAAATCACCTTAAGGATATAGAAGAGTCCCTTGAAGAAAATTCCAGAAAACCTGGGATTGCATTCTTGCCACATAGGCAGGTGTATAGATATGGCTGTGAGAACTGCTACTGGATTCTCACTCTCCGTAGTAGAGTGCTTGTCCAAAAAGCCATCTCAGAAGCAGGTTTATACATATATAACATATATACATATAAATAAAATAAAATAAAAATAAAATAAAGGAATGAAAAGAAAAAATTGTAAAAGTCCTTAAAAGCGGAATTTTAACTTACCCAATTGGATTATTTGATATTTGGGAAATGCTGGATTCTCTTCCTTCAGACTTGGAGGCTGGCTGCAGAAACACAGGGAGCTGGGTTTGGACAAGAGAACAACTTCTAACGAGTTCAGTGTTGCCACTGGTATAGTGTTTTGTTAATTACAGCTGGACTGAGATGCACAGGATTGTCTCTGAATTACATAATTACATAAATTACATACTTAGAAAGCACCTAGATAAATCAGATGTTTTCAAATTCTCCTCTACTCAGCTCTTGTGAGGCCCCATCTGGAGTACTGTATCCAGGCCTGGGGCCTCCAGCACAAGAAAGATGTGGAGCTCTTGGAATGCAACCAGACGAGGGCCACTAAGATGCTTATAGGGCTGGAGCACCTTTCCTGTGAGGAAAAATTGAGGTTACTGAGCTTGTTTATCTTGGAGAAGAGAAGGCTCTGGGGAGGCCTCATTGTGGCCTTCTAATATTTGAAGGGAGCATATGAACAGCTATTTACATGGGTTGACAGTGATAGGACAAGGGGGAATGGTTTTAAACTGAGGCAGGGTGGTAACACACTGGAACAGGTTGCCCAAGGAGGTTGTGGATGCCCCATCCCTGGAGGCATTCAAGGCCAGGCTGGATGTGGCTCTGGGCAGCCTGGTCTGCTGGTTGGTGACCCTGCGCATAGCAGGAGAGTTGAAACTAGATGATCATTGTGGTCCTTTTCAACCCAGGCCATCCCATGATTCTATGATTCTATGATTCTATGAAATTTGATTGGCCTAATGAACTTCACCATAGGACACTGAAGAACCAAATCACAAAATCTTAGTGCTGGCCTAGGGAAAGATGAGAGAGAAGTACCAAAGGTAGAGAATGTGGTGAGTAAAGGGAAATACGTGCAAGAAGGTACATGTATTGAAAAAAGGGAGGAACAAGGAATTAAAAAAACAGTTTTGATAATATCCATCTCAGAAAAGTACTGGAACAAATGATCAGATGCTAAATCTTATGGGATGAGTGCAGGTGAGTACCAGGAACTTTATCAGGGTTTATTGGGTATATACAATCCCACATTAACCTGATTTGCTACTGCAACACATTCGCAGGCCTTTATGTGGAGGAAAAGAAGCATACTTCATTATGTTTGACACCTGAAAGAATTTTTACTCTGAGATGATTCTTCTAAGTATAAACTAAAGAAACTGCCTAGATGAAACCAGTAACTACTGCAAGTCTGCTGGTTACAGTGATGTGTGGAATCAAACTCTGTAACCCAAGTAAGATTACAAAGCAGGTGTCTTCATTCCAGCGATGCGCATACACTGGGTGCAAAGGGGATAGATCTGCCTAACTTACACACCATGAGGAAAAAGCATGCTACAGATATAGGCCGAACTAATACATAATCAATTGTTTACAGGAATTTGGATACATATTCACTAGATTTTTGAGAACCCATTAGCATGCAGACCCTCCCCCTCGTGCGTGCGTAGTGAGTGAGGGTCTCTTCCTGGTGGTTGTGGGATGAAGAAACATCTTCCTCACTGTAAACTTCTGACCTGCGAGAGGTGCAGCCCCCAAACCGGTTTCTGCTTGCCCCGTGGACACTTAATCACCTCACTGCCAGATGTCCTCTGGCTGTTCTCAAGCCTTTATCTTTATGGCCTTAACCCCCCTCATTATCCCAGATCCAGTGTCTGCAATCCCTTATTTTTCTAACAAGCTCTACATTCTTGCTTCTATAAACTATCTCTAACACCCCCCCCCATCGTTAGTCCATGTGAAGCCCTCACTTTTACTCTTTTGCTATGGGGCTCTTTTCATCCTTCAACAGAGGGTTCAGAACAGCCAGATTTGTGATCTTCTGTCAAAGTAGAGGGGACTATGCAGTGGGGATTTGACCCATCTGTCCTGGGCTTGTGGATAGTTGGTGTTTTCATTAACAAATTGGATGATGAAATGAAGTCTGGTTATCGTATTTGCAGATGACACAAAGCTGAGAGGACAAAATTTCACTGACAAATTGCAACCATGTTCTGAAAAAGCACAGGGTGCTATTAGGTAGTGACAGATACAAAGTACTGAGTTTAAGTAGAAATAATGAACTTTACAAACACAAAAAGAAAAATAAAAGCCAGGGAAGAAGTGATGAGTTGAGCATGGTAGGAGTATTTTCAGGGGAATGACAAGGGAAAAGGAACTGGAGAGACAAACAAATGGTCCAAAAGTACCTTGAGGGGGGACATCAGGAAGGGCTTTCTATTGTAGAGGTAATGATGCACTGGAAAGGACAAGAGGAGTCCATGCCACTGCTTGTCTCCAGGAGCAGTTATCAAGACATTTGACAAGAGGTACAGAAGGCCACCTGACCTCTGGAGATCCATTTTGGTCACCGAGCTCTACAATTAGGTGTGGATTGCTGGTAACATCAGTGTCAGTGGAAGAAGTAGTGTCCAGGGATATCCCTGGGGCTGGAGGCTGTCCCACCATCCTGCCACAGCACTGTGGCACTTGGGGCATGTGGAGGGCCAGCAGCGGACACCTGCTTCTCAACAACAGCTGGTACCCACTACGGAATAGTACCACTCCAAAGACATATGGGAAATGCAAGATTCCCTTTTTTGGGGCTTTGTGGGTTGATTACAGAACAGACAGTGCTGTGCAAGTACTGTGTGTGTGACATTACAGTGTTTTTATGTGCCTTGTGTTGCCACTAGATGGTGATGATTCATGCTCAAGCTGCCTGGTTTCACATATGCATGTTTGATGCACATCCAGAACTTAAACAAATACACAAGATGATTCACATGAGATAAGTTTTTTCTGACATCATAAATTCATTACGTCTTAACTTTCCAATGTGGAAAAAAAAAAAGCACAAACACCCAGTGTATATTCTCTTCCTCTTCCGTGAAAGTGAAAGCACAAGATGTGTCTCCTACTGCTTATATATACAGATCTGAAGCCTCTCAGTGGGTTAAAAATACCTTTTTTCCTCTCTCAGTGCAAGGACCATCATTACATTTTTAATCCTTGTTCTCAGAAGTTCTTCTTTCTCAAGCCCAAGCTGAGCTTATCACACATGAACAGAAGTACAGCCACACATACCACATAAAACGAAGGCACTAAAGGTAAAAAAGTGTGTAATGGAAGTGTTCAAGTCTTTCCATCTCTGATAGCAGCAAGAGTGACAGTCTCATAGTTTCAGTGACTTGGTAAGGGGCCTTTCCACCTCCTCCTCTTCTCTTCCCTTAACTTAGCTGTAGTTTGGTTGCCTTCTTCCTGTCTCACCTGATTGCCTACTGCTTCTCTTCACTCAGTTTGGGCTTAAATACCTGTTTTCAAAGTGCTGAACCACAGAATTACAGAATCTCCTGTGTTGGAAGGGACCCACAACAATCACGGTGTTCAACTCCTGAGTCCATACAGGATCACTTACATTCAAACCCTGTATCTGAGAGCAGTGTCCAAATGGTCCATGAACTCCAGCATCTCAGCACCATGACCATTGCCCTGGGCAGTCTGTTCCATGCTCATCACCCTCTGGTAAAGAGTTTTCCTGATATCCAACCTGAATCTCTCCTGTATTTAGGGAACACACCAGAAAGGCTGTCATTTTTTCTGTTAGTGTGGCTGAACCTGACAAAAGCTCAGCCCTTGTGCAGGCATTTTTAAAAAATTTAAGGTCTGCTCAGGTGCCCTGTGGGACCAGGAGATCATTATCTCATCTGACTCATTCCTTCTGCTTACTGTGAAGGGTGAGATTTGATAGCTTCTATTTTTAGCAGCTGAAAGTTTACTGCTGAAACAAGGACAAGTGTTTCAATTGAAGGAAACAGGAGACACTCTCCAAGCTCTGCATACAGTGTGACAACGTAAATTACTATGATATTGCAGGCTGATTCACAAAGTAGTTATGCTCCTAATAACCGGGTTTCTGTTAGAAGTTTGTCTGCAAAGACAGTCGTGACAACTCCAGTTCATGCCAACCATCTGATCTCTGCCTGGGATGGCGTAGAGTCCAAAAAAGAAACTTTGCAAGGTAAACTGGGTTCACACCTCTTAGAGAGATGTCAGTTCTGATGATAGTAATGAAATTGTGGAATTGCTGACTGCTTTCATAGACATGTCATAAGAGAGAACTTCATTCTTCACAGTGACTTACGTAGCGTCAGAGACTGCAGCAGAGTTATTTTTTACCATTACTTGTCAGGAAGGGCAATCAGCAATTTTTACCTTTTCTGCCAACATTGTGCACTCCCATTAGAAATGAAAGCAAGATTCAACTTATACTCAGACCTCCCAGAAAAAAACACTGACTGCAACGGCATAGAATCATAGAACTGTTTGAATTGGAAGGGATCCTTAACGGTAATCTACTTCAACTACCCTGCAGTGAAATCAGGTTGCTCAGAGCTCCACCCAGCCTGACCTTGAATGTCTCTAGGGATGGAGCTTCCACTACCTCTCTGGGCAACCTGTGTCAGTGCCTCGCTACCTTTACTTTAAAAAACTTCTTCCTTATGTCCAGTCTAAATCTCTCCTCTTTTAGTTTGAAACCATTTCTCCTTGTCCTATCACAACAGACTCTGCTAAAGAGTTTCTTTCTAGTAGCCTCCCTTCAGATATTGAAGGGCCACTATCAGGTCTCCCCAGAACCTCCTCTTTGCCAACCTGAACAACCCCAGCTCTCTCAGCCTGTTCTCATAGGTGTTCCATCCCTTGAATCATTTTTGTGGCCTTCCTCTGGATGTGCTCC